AATTTATAGAGTAAAATCCAAAAGCCTCCTTAAAATACTTCAAAAGGACACTTTGGTCCCTTTTGTTTCAAAATGATGTTTTTGATCCCTCAACTGTTAACAACGTTAGTCAACAGTTAAAAAAAATTATATCTAAAACAATGTAAATATTTTTAGGACATTAAAAATGCCCTTTTATAAAAAATTTGCTCATCTTTCATTCCAAAATTTAATAAAAATCGCTTTGATATTTGATAAAATTCATTATTTGACAAAGAAGAAAAAAACTTAAAACTTAATAAAACTCTAGAAGAGGATTTGTGGATGTGGTAATTTCTATCACTTTGATACTTATTAAAATTCAATATTTAATAGAGAAGAAAAACTAAAAACTTTTTTTATATAATAATTAAGTCAAAATCTTTTTATGTCACCCTAAATTCTAGTCAAATAATATGGATAAAAAAATTTCAACAAAATTAGTAATCACAAGTAAGAAATTAATTTCTTGACTTGACATCATCAAATTTGAAATATTAATCATTGAACAAAATATTTACTTTTAATATATTCTTTTCAATGAAAAAAATTCTCTAACTATTGGAGAAATAAAAAATATTGTGACAATAGACTTTACCTCAATAAATAAGTTTACGGTTTTCAAGGTAGATACAGTTTCAAATTTCCAAGCTTATAGATCAAAATTTTTAAATTTTTTTTCCTTATTAAGGTTTTTGAGAGAGATGAGTAGATTTTTTTTAAAAAATGATATAATCTCAAATAAAGCCTTATACTATTTAAAAAAATTCAAATAAGCTCTTATTTTTTTATTACATTCAATTAAGCGTCTGTAATTTTATTTTCGATCAAATAAGCACTTATAACTAATGATTGACTAATTGTTATTAGTCAAAAATACCTTTTGTCATCTTATATTCACATGTCATTGAAATGGCACTAATGTGAGTGGTGAAAAACACCACAAGGTTATATTATATATCATATCAAATTAACATGTCACATCATTATCAATTATGATATGTCAACAAACCATATCATCATCAATTATTACATGTCAATAGAGTACATCAGTGCAACCAGATATAAAATAACAAATGACATTTTAACTAAGCCAATAATTAGTTATAAAGGCTTACTTGACTTAATATAAAAGTATAAGGGTTTATTTAGTTTAAAAAAAAAGTACGATGATTTAATTAAATACAATAAAAATATAAAAACTTATTTAAATATTTTTTAAATAGTTTAGAGACTTTTTTAAATATTATATAAAAAATATGTTTAAATTAAAAAATAATATAAAAAAGTATTTATGTCCTA